GGGGCGGGAGTATCCCCGCGCACGGCGCGTTCTGTCGCCGCGCCCGCCCGCACAAATGTTGCCTTTCTGCGGGAAACTGGAGGCTCCCTGATCAGGGCGACGTCTCAGGCATGTTGCCCTTACCAGAGCATCTTTTTGTACAAATACCCCGGCCGACACAAAAGTTGCCTTTAGGAATCACAGTGCACCAGGAGGCACTGATAAAAGTCTTGGAAGCTATTCCTTACCCTCTAGAGGTCAACATTCACATGGAAACAACTGCCTGTACGAATACGTGTTGCCTGTTGCCTAATGTCCATGTGGAGCGACGCCCCGTGGAACCGACCACTGTTACTAGAAGTTACCATCAGCATCTATTCAGTATTCAAAGCATTTTATTGCATAATTTTACAGTACAATGGTTTAAGTAAATAGTTGAAATACACTTTTTAAGCACATTTGCATACCTAGATTTAGTGAGAGAAAAAGGTTAAAAGCAATAAAATGGCAAAGTTTGGCAAGATTAGGAGCACCACTACTTGTGTAGAGTGTGCAGTTGAGTTGGCAAGTAAAAGTATTTTGAAGGCTGATTAGCATGAAGCCTCCACAATGTTGGCTTTATACCTAAGATTTGCACATTGCGTGCAGGTAAAATAGTAAAAATATTTGCAAGTAAAGAAAAGTAGATATAAATAGAGCATGGTAAAGCATGGCGCAAAATAGCAAAATAGGCACATTAGGTGCAGGTTAATAATTAAAATAAGTGCATACAGAGCATAGTTGATATAAATAAGGCCTGGTGGACCAGGGCACAATAGGGCAGAAAGTTTGCGCATGAAGTGCAGCTAATAATTAAATAAATGCATATAAAGCATAAATGATATGAATGAACCTGGCGAACCAGGCTACAATAAGGCAAAATGTTAGCACATGAAGTGCAGATAAACAATGTATTGTAGCAGGTTAATTTATATTAACAATGCAGTTAATTAAGTAAATTGATGTAGAAATATAGATATGATTTGAATAAAAAATAAGGCGAGCAGGTTAATTTATATTAACATCGCAAATTATGATAACAAAATAATAAAGATTAAGCATTAGTGCTTTATATTAACAAGAACAATTGAAATGTTATATAAAAAGATGGAATTTAGATGAAATTGGCTAATGCCAACTTAGATTAGGTGGGGGGACGCCTGGAGTGTATACGATGCACAAGGCGATCGAGACACTTAGGACCGATTTCACCACCACAGCGCTAATGTGGCTTTAACTAATGTCGACTTAAACTAATGGGGGTACCTTAAGTGGCCTCGTCTTTCACCACGACTAACGTCCGCTTAGCGGAACCGACTTTAACTAACTGAGCGGCAGTTTGGCAACATCGGCGAGCTGCCGCGCGCCCGACAGAATCTAGCATGCAGTGCGTACACATACACGGGGCCGTGGCCGTTTTCGCGCGAAAGTGTGTCTTTCTTCATTGTTCTGCTCATTCAGTCTTCGAGCACCAAGCGCAATGGCACGCGGCGGCAGTTCTCGCAAAACCCTTCGGGACCCCGAAGATAAAAGGGAAAGAACGCCAAACTTCACTGAAAGCGAAAAGGACTTGCTCGTGGCGATAGTATATGAGTTTAGGGTGGTCCTTGAGAGCAAAAAGACTGATGCCTTGACTACTAAAGAGAAAAATGAGACATGGGAGTTGGCTGCCCAAGCTTTTAACAGTAGGTCAGGCTTTGTAACCCGTTCTGCAAAAAATCTTAAAAATCTGTGGGGCAACCTGAAGGGTCTTGCGAAGGCTGCCGCTAGCCAGCAGAAGTCAGAAACATTCAAGACTGGTAAGCACAACATTTCTTTGTCACTCCCTGACCAGGGCTTGAGAATGGTAAGGTTATAGTTCTTTCATTACACATAACTTTATTTTAGGTGGAGGCTCTAGTAAAGCTAGAGATTTGTCGCCTCGGGAGCTGCAAATTTTGGAGATCACCAGAGAGTCGGGCACTGGCCTGGAGAGTGCCTTTGATGGGGACAGGAGCAGCAGCAGTGCAGTACAGCAGCAGGTGCAGGAAGAAGAGGACTGTGGTGCTGGTGCACCTGCTGCAGTGTGTACTGCTGACTCCGATGATATGATCGTTTTGGAGTTCCCCGACGGTGAAATTCCAAATGTAAGTACTATTGTATAGGTTTTCATTACATCGTTAGCTTGTGCACAGGTCTATTTTTTTTATTGAAGAATTTATTTCTTTCCAGATGAATTTTCAAAACATACAGGTGCCTCACTCAACACCAAAGATGTTGAGCCCTCACAATTGGGGGTCTCATGCACCGAGGCACCTGTTGCTTAGTAAAGCGAGCGCCTTGCAAATCTCTTCGCCTTCCACCAGCAGTCAGGAGGTGCCTGTGACATCCCAGGACGTTGCTGCTGGAACCTCACAGGCCTCTCCTGTCAGCACACTGGCGAAGAGGAAGTCTGACATGGAGGCAGAGTTGGAGCGGAGCCAGAAGAACAAGAGGCGCCGCCCAACTCTGGCACAAGAGGACAGCTCCAGGGGCCAGCTGACAGTGGCAAGGCTCAAAGCTGCCCTTGCCCTGCAAGAGTCCCTGGAGACAGAGAAGAGGCTTCTCGAGGAGGAGGAGAGGAGGAAGAAGGAGGAGGACCTGAGGAATGCCAGGGAGGAAGAGAGGAGGGAGGCCCTCTTCAATTTAGAAAAGCAAAAGCGAGAGCTGGAGCTTTTAAAATTGAAGAGGGACCTCGGTCTAGACTAAGAGTAGAGTAAGAGATACGGGAAAGGCAAGGATTCGAGAACATGCACCATTTGCAGTAATATTAGATTTGTTTGCCAGTTGTAAGTTTATATATAGGTTTTTAGTATTTTTAATTTTTGGCAGTCACTGTCACAGCTTGGCATTACAAGATATATTATTGAAATTGGTGCATTTACAAATTCCACGCCTCCCAATATCTTTTACATAGTCCGATAATAGTTGTTTGTTTTTTCCTGCAACAGGGATCTATTGAAATGGTGTAAGTAAATCAAATCATTGTTATGACGGCCTTCTTTGATGTGCATGGTACATCACATTATATTCAATTGGCACAAGGTAGGCCCTCATAACAATTTCAGCCTGT